CAATGCTCTGTTGATCATTATCTGCTACGACGGCAGATATCGACATGTACAACCCATAGACTTGAAACGACTGAGTTGTTCCAGGAGGGATAAAAAGAATTCCCATGTTCGCGTAATGCGGCTGCAGCGAGTATGAGCATGCGCAAGTCATATAGTTTCGTCGATAGCAGGTCCATTCGCCCTCGGCAAGAAAGAATCCCTTGTCCACAGTGCCCGTAATCTCAACCTTGATTGGCGTCCCATTTTCATACTGAAGGGACCCAGACGTCTGGACGGACATGAGGGGAGGCACAGCTGTTGTGGAGGGTCTGTTTTGGAACTGACCAGTCTCCATCCTCCCAGCCGGAGCGACATAGGAGGTGAGTGGGCTTGGGGTTGGCGACAATGGCAAACGGCGGAGAGGCACCCCCGGAAATGACGGAGACCTGACTGGGTGCTCCGATGGCCTCCTAAACGAGGGTGTTGCGGCAGCGTATTGCTCTCTGGCGCTTACTTGCGCTGTCAGATGCGGTAACCCAGCGGAGCGATGCTGTTGGTGGGTGTGAGCCTGCGCCATACCAGCTGAGGCCGCGGCGCTATGGTAGCTGTATAAGTCGTCGTTAAATAATAATAATAATAATAAGTGACCACGCCTCATCACTACCATGCCTCTTTGCACATCACCAATGCCACCACTGAAGGATTATTTTACAGAGAAAAAACTTACTTGGTATTTAGGCGAGACCTAACATCTAGACCCGGAAATACTTGAGCTGTTGGCTGGTAAAAAGCAGCGCTGTCCTGGTGATAGTGCGTCGTGGTAGCAAGGGCGGCAGCGGTAGGGTGGAATAGGTTCAGAATCCCGGGGGGCTGCGAAGGCTCTATTGCTAGAGCCGTCGTATTTGCTTCTTGGGTGTACCTGGGCGTCTGATTAGAAAAGAAGGGAATGGACAAGTATTTGAAAGAAAGAGATGTAGAAGACACGTAGAAAGGATCTACAATAAAAAGATATATATGATAAGAAGAGAGAGAGGGAAGCGAATGTAGTGATGAAAAAAAGAGCGCTTATTGATGCTAGATAGATAGAATAGGAGGTATGGGTGCCCTTGCCTGAGTACCACAAAGCTAAAAAGCTATACCTGCCAGCAGGAGTGGTAGCACAAGGCCAATGCACGATTCCATTCCGCGACGGCGACAGAGCAGTGATGAACACAAGCCCAGGTGCAACCTTCGGCGCTGAAGCTCACAGGCCCGTAGCAGGGCCGCTTAGAGAGGTGTATGATATTGTTCGGTAGCGGCCCTTTGGCCATAGGAAATGTGGGTGGTCCGCCCAGATAACGGTGGAAATTTGGTGTGGTGGACAAAAGACAGAAAACGTACCTCATATCGCCAGGCTGAGAGTGTATATCAAGGTAATCAAGCTCCGTGCATGGAGGTGGTGGCGAGGAGTCGTAATCCTATAGCCAAAGAATTCATTAGAGTTGGATTCTAACATAACGTATATATGCTTTTGAGACAATGATGGGGGATAAAGGCCAGGCAAGCTTCGGTGCTGCTCCTGCTCTTTCCGCCATATTCCAATCGGTCACAAGCATTCCGAATAATATAATGAAATGTCATTTGGGTAGAAGCCTAGAGACAGTCAAAGCATTAGCATGGACAGCCTTAGCATGTGGTACCCAAGGACGAAATTTTGAGGAGGGAGGGGGAGGGGGGTGTCTTTTAGTCGTACAGTCCTGAGGCAAGGTACAGTACATTCAGTTACATCCCAGTACTCGGAAGCAGTGCAAGGGCATATCGGAAGAAGGACGCCAAGCCTTGCTGGGGGTAGATGCGGCTGGCCGTAATACCAAGCAAACCGGTCGTTGGAACAGGGGGAGGGGGGTCTGCATCTCCTTCGCATATGGAGCCGAAGCCGAAATCGCCCCATGGCGAGATCTTGCCACAAGCGATAGCACCTGCGAGTGCCAAAGAATCTGATGTATTCCCCCCTCGCCACAGCCCCAGCAAACGCGCGTGCAATGCGACGCCGATCATATGTGAAATGATGGTATTTTTGACAGGAGATTCATAGTAAAGGGCTTTATACTCATTTCAACATACCTCAGTATGAAAAAAGGCGCTTCTTCGACCCATATGGATCGAGGATGGCGCGCCCACTTCATTCATGTAAATAGGTAGCTGCTGTTAGGCGATGCGAATATCCCCAGCTATTATTGGAAAAGTAGTTATATACTAGAATAAAGGACAAAGGCGAAAGAATGTAATACCTTCTGCTGCTGAGAATGCATGCGATAGGATCTCTGGCGGAAAGGATGCCCGCGACTAAGGGTGAAATAAGGCTGGAACGGCTATGGAGGTCTTAGATTAACGATATGATCTTCGGCCAGGCAGCCTGATGTCTAGGCAGTCAATGGATAACAAGCAAGCGTCAACCCGTACTCTTTATGATCTCTCTTGATACTTCATGTAAATCGTCGGAGAGCTTCAGGACGCCAACCCTTCCGTCTCTGTCTGTCGCGCGCCCATCAACCAATCAGCTTGCCGTCAGTTTCCCAGGAGAGAGGTGGAATATGTGGCATCAAGATATTAAAGGGCTGGGATTCCAATCCAAATTTTGCAAAGTAAATATATGGCTGGTTTAGCACGAAGGAGTTCTTACCAGCGGTGAGGCGATGAGCAGAGGCCAAAAAAGGCTGTTCGAGGAATGAGAATGAGCTTCAGAAAAACTTAGTCTCTACTTTCATCATTGGCTCTCCTCCTATTAGCACACTCGATGATTGATGGAGCACGGGTAGGATCTGCCGGATACTGAATATATATGGAGTCGGCCGTGGGACGGCGATGTCAAGCCTCAAGAAAGAGATTTGGATGTCTGCGTAACAGAAGAAAGAAAACTCACCAATAGTTGGTTTCTTTTAGCCTGGTAGTTTAAATGAAAGTATTAAGCTTGTTGATTGTCATCCATTAAGGAGACGGATGCGCTCTTCGTGCAATGAAGGTATAATGTCTATCGTGATAACAATAGTAGCTGCTGTAAAGACTGTGAGCAGGGATAGATGGGAAGAGCATTATGCCCAACAGCGTAAGGTGGGCTCAGTTACATTAATTCTTCTGGGGGGATTCAGCGTAACAATCGAAGAAGTATTCTGCTGTCGAGAGCTGAAGAGCATGAGCAGAAAGTGATGAGGAAGGAATGAAAGACGGCCAAGAGTGAGAGCTTTCGGGGTCTTATAAATAAATACAGGCCAGAAGGCATTGAACGAGCCCGAGAAGGAGACAGGGTTAGACTGCAAAGCTTAAAGCAGGCGTCTATCGTGTGGCTGCTGAGACAGGGTCTAAGAGAGCTCAACGGGGAATGGTGTGAAGAGCTCACGAACCGCACATCTTTTTCTTCCCCGTCTCCCTCTATCTCCACATGTATCTATAAGACTTTATCCTGGTTCGGGCAAAGAAAATCGTATATGTGCAGGCTGTGGATCATGATAATGCATATGACTGGCTGCTGCGGAAAAAGCTTGCTGAAGGAGCTCACTGAGCGTGTGAGGCCCAAGGTTTCCTAGTTACAGGAACAAGCAAGAAGCCGCAGAAGTCGCAGGGCTTTGCCCAAGCTACAAGCAGCTCGCGACGCCAGCCAAACAGAGACTCTGGATTTCGTCGCGGAACCGGGGAAGCGACCCGTTCCTACTACAGCGAGCATAGCTTGGCTATCAACCCCATTTGCAATCAGGTCATTGAGAAATGGCTTGCGTGCTACACGACCCCGGAAGCTCAAGCAATTCGCTTGCATGGCCTTGGGATAGATGGGCCGGGCATTGACCAGAAGTCCGTCCAAAGGCATTGTCCAGCTGGCCGCCATTGCGTCAAGGGTTATCAAGTTTGTTTCCACCGTCCCGATTTGCTTGGAATATAGCCCGCCTGTTGCGTTATGGCCGCACACCCCCCTCCCCCCCTTCCAGCGAACTAAGCATGCAAGTATCCAGGCGCCATGTCTCCGCCTACAATGCGGTCTCTTGTGGGCCTGTTGTTGAGAAAGAGATCCTTGGCCGGGGCGAACGCTAGGGAGGCGGCGGGTAAGTGCATGAGATTGCAATGCGTTGGAAAGAGGAGACACCGGATCAACACCCAGCCAGTCAGACGCGGTAGGCAAGCCAAGCTCCAGATGCACCAGCATTCCACGATATGTTCTTGTTTAAGGCACACGCCGCTGCTCTTGATATTAAATTGCGGTGGTCATGACACCTGGCCAGCGCACTGCATGTTCTTGAAATACTGAGACTATGTGACTAAGCCCAGCAGCTTGCTCATATGCATTGTGCCAATCAAACTGTCTCCGCTGGTCCAGAAAACAGAGGTAAAATCAAAAAGTAATGCCACCTAGACGCTTGACACGGACCTGGACCTCGGTTTGCATTTTGGGCCATGAAGTACTTTCTTTGCAATCCAAACGGTGTCACAGCTTGGGCAGCCACGATTGTCAAGATAATGTTACAGACACGCAAGTCTGAGCACTCAGGTTTCATCCTTCTCCCCAGATTTTAGAACAGACAGCAGGTTACCAGCAGGCAGTGTGTAGGTAGTTTGACACGTTATAGAGACAAAGGGATCAGCAGAAGGGTGTGAGGCTGATGGCTTGCGATCCTTTGTAGAATAGCGCTTGTTTTGTGGCCACCGCAAACTCGATAGTGGCCAATTTGCCTGTGAAGCATCTCCTTTTAACACACTAGAGAGCCACGCAATGATAATGGTAGCCAATGACAAGACCATCTACCCGAGCGAGGTGGACTTTGTCGTCCCTGATCAGCCGATCCGACAGCGGAGGAGAAAACAACAGAAAACCGGCCAGGCAAGCAAGGCACGTCGCAGACAATCAATTTCACCAATGGGAGCCTTTAGGGAGCCACGCATGCACCATTTGGCCGTGTAACTTTCCAAGAGACCAGGGCAGCACCGAAATTTAGAACAAAGATGCTGTATCCTGCACACTTGATTCAACTCTCCGGATGGGGAAGGGGGGGTATTATCGAAGGGAGTAAGATGATTACGATCCCATATCGCCCACCCGTAAGATCAAACAAAGACCCAACTGTAGACGTCGTCAAAGTGGGCATTTAGAGCTTTGTCGGACCGGCCCGTTGCCAAAGATGCCGCGCTAATTTACAATATGGTTCGTTTGGCGAGGCAATTGACCAAGCAGACCTGTCAGGGACATGAGAATGAATGTCATTCAACGCAGCCGCCTGTAATATGCCCCAAGCGGATTTGCCTCGTCCACTCAACTCCCCTTGGACTCTGACAGGGCGGCCAAGCCAAGGTAGGCAACGGGTAAGAGATCAGATAGATCTCTGTACGAGGTGAGAGGTCGTAACGGCGATTCCGCAGCTTCACATCTCGATACGGCCAAGACCAATCCTGAACATGTCCTCCATGATCTAAACCGAACAGCTCCTGTGCTATCGATTGCTAGCCACAACACAGCACGAAAAGCCAGAGAATGTCTTGCATTGTTGGCATTACCCATCTCTGGCAGCGTGTGCCTGTAAGCCAAGGCGACAGGATGGGTAGTACAAGTTTGGGGGCCGCCTAGGCCTCAGCATTGTCGTCTTTGTTTTTGGGATGGAGGCAAAAGCAAATGCTCGGAAACTCGTGTCGTAGTTGCTGCAGCCGTCGCCGCGGCTGCATCGTGCATTGGAAACGAACACGAGGGAGTCGGCCATGATCCGAATCCTAGGACCCCATGCTTTTGTGGTTTTCGTAATTGCTGGCCGTCCATAATGGACCAGCGAGTCCAGGCCAGGACCAGGGCCAGGCGAGACGGCGTGACAGGAGCTGAGAGGAGCTGAGAGTGTGCCAGGACCCAGCCGTTGAGGCTTTTGTCTCACGCTCGGACTGTGGCTTCTGGCTGGAGCTGCCGCGGCAACTTGCCTGCATACTCATCGGTCGTCCATCGACCATCCACAGGCGCTGATTTGCATGTTGCCTCGAGTTGTTGTCTCCGTCACGCTCAACTCAAGAGTGCCGTATCTCAACCGGTGTGCAGGGGACCTGCAAAGGCGTCAACAGAGCGCTCAAAATAGCACCCAAGGACATACGAGTATAGCGCAGCGCTCTCCACGGACCTGGAAGGTGGAATTGCAGACAATGCTTTGGCGGTTTCTGGCCTCACAGGCTGCGAGCGCCACGCCTGAGCGGAAGTCAAGAAAGGCTGCATGTATGTGCCGTTGCATCGTGTCCGCTTATTGGCCGCTTGGGTCGGGGCTTGCGGTTCCCTTCGACACGGAGCCGCACGCTATGGGCCCTTCCCGCCTGTAGCGAGTTCCGAAAGCTCCCTGTAGCGAGCTGAGATAGCGCCGGATGCTCCTGATCTGGACACCGCTAGCGCCTATACGGGCTTGTTCGCAGGGCTTTTACAGGGCCTATGGGGCCACCGCCTCTGGAGAAGAGGGGCGGTTCGCTGATCATGGGCACGGATTCTACATACAAGGGGCTCACCGAGATTGGTCGGTTCTCGATGGGCAGATGACGACATTGCTGCTGCATCAGGGCATCGCCCGCTATAAGAGCTGCAGAGGTACCGTGTACGCCACTTCATGCTCCATGCAGCGTACACGATGCTGTCAGTGGCACAAGCGGGATCTTTATCTTATCATTTGAAACTTGGCGGAGGAGTGTATGTACTCCTCGCATGTAGCTCTCCAACCACATCTTCTGCAGCCTACCTGGAGCAGCTACACCTACACCTGGCGATGATGGAAATTACGGCACTCGAGCAAATACGCCCAATTCAAGCATCAATGGTCATTTGCCGCAGTAGCATCGGCCGTCTCAGGCCACACCCCTCGCAAGGGCGTCAGTCGAGCAAACTGGGATAGAAGCTGGAAAGCCTCACTCCCCCATCGCCAGTGGCTCGTCACAGGCCTCATCAGAAGGGGGGGAGGCTAGCAATGCCATCATCCATCCTCCACGCTGCCGTGGTCGCACGCAACTCGTCGGCCGACATTATCAACGCTGCTTGCTCAGCCTACGGCTTAGATCAGATCCATGGCGAGGGCCTCTGGTGGCCGTAAGTGAGACACGCTGTCGTATTACTGGGGTCCTAACATCGTGCCACCAACCAGTTTCCTCCACTCCAGTCAACCTGGATGTGCTCCGGACTGCGCATGATTGTGTGCCAGAGACAGGCTGACGCACACCCTACGCAGTCGCTGAGTGCTTCGACCCTCTGCTCTCTTCCACCACCTCATCTTTGCTCCCTTATTCGGCTCCCAGCGTAGGCTAGTGTTGAGTCGAACCCAGGGCAGCAGACGGAGGCACCTCGCCGACAGCTGATAGTCAGTAGGAGCTGCGGTAGTGGAGGATTGCTGCTGCGAAGGTCTTCTGCTCGGCCATATCCCCAAACGTCGCATCTACCCGTCTCGCTCTTACGCCTGACGCAATTCCCGGTGCTTACTTCTCGTGGCAGTTGCTACGTAAGTGTAATTTGGACTGCGGTGTTGGTCCTGCTCCTTTCCCCCATGCCGGCTACGCACATGATATGATGCAGCTCCTTCCAGCAAGGCGTTTAGGGCAGGCAACGTGGTTTGATGGGACAGGCTGCTCAATATGACTGACGTGTTTACCCACCAGAGACTATCCTTGGCTAACTTTTATTAATCTCACGGCAAGTGCCGCTAGATACAGGTTGATAATATTTGTGGAAACTGGTAATTATGCAAATATCCAGCTTTTCCAAACACCGGGTTAATCATGTGCTAAGCTACAGCATATCCAAGTTCACTAAAATATCCCTATGAAATACTCTATCGATTATACACGGAGATGCTTACTCTTCAGTGTGTGGCTAAGGGATCACAATGTGAGAAATGAGTCCGAAATTTTACATTATTCACAATAGATACTATGCATTCGCTGCCCACATATTCTTGTAGTATCTTGAATATTTCCACCTTGGAGACCCTATCTCTGTTCTATACCGAATCTAAACGCCTAAACGCTTCTCGTATCTGTCTGGAAAGCTAGACTAGCCTTGTTTACAACGGTCACTGAGGCCGAAGCCGACTCAAAGGATAATGAATGGATGCTTACACGATCAAATGAAGCCGAATCTCTCAAAAGCTCTGCTCATCTTATTGAGATCCCTCTGGCGCTGCAACTAACAGGAGCTGTCTATACCCGCCTTCACACTCTCATTTCTTTGAAGGGAAATATTACAGCAATTTGATCCACCGTTTAAGAGATATCTGAAAATTTCACATCTTTATACTATTACACTGTTGTACTACACAAACTTTATATTCCGCCGTCCTCGTATTAACAGATACTATGCCATAGATGCCCGAGTAACTATTTGCGCCCGTTCTCTTCTTATCTCAGAGCAGGGGATATTTACAATGGTTTGAAAAGCATCAAGATGCCGAACAACTGCACGGTCGCCAGTTTGGTCAGTTTGTTAGTATGTTGGCATCTTTTTCTAGGCGCTAAATGTGGTGGTATGTCGTACATCACAGCCATCTATCCGAGACCGCGCCCTTTTCCTACATATACACCTAAGTAGAGGTTAAACCAGGGCGGCACTGTTGACCGATATTTCAACTGCATGACAGTAACTGGCTGTTGCTGCTGGAAGAAAATGAGCGTATCGGTGGCAATTCTATATGAATAAGTGCCATGAAGAGAGAGAGAGAGAGAGAGAGAGAGAGAGCACCTTTGTATGCATCTGATTGCTTCCCAGACTACAAGTAACTGCCGTCGCTTATGCCGATCCGGTTCTCTAGAAATGCTACGGTATCAAATTCAGTTTTCTTTTCTCACGTGCTAAAATGCTAGTTGACAGCTAAGACGGTTCTGGAGCTCCTCGCGTCGCTCAGACCCCTTGATTATCTCCTGATTACCATCTTGTTCGCTTCGCGTTACCACATTGGGCAACTTAACCTCATAGTTTCACCTAGCTGATGAGGCAAGTATTACGATGGCCGCCTCTTGGCTCGAGAGAGATGGGCGTCTCCACTATTCACCGCTATTGGAGCTCATAAGTACACGCCTCCCTTCTCTCTACTCTTGTTCCCCGAGCCCCACTCCGCAATATACTTGTTAGACGACTATCTAGGCGTTTGAAGTTGGGTAGTGACGCGCAGAAATTGAAGGTGATCAGTCTCTTTGCTACTGAAGGTGTAGTTTGGTTATTTGATATTTTGAGCTAAGAAAATCAAACATAAACACTGGAATACGGACAACAGAGTTATATTGTGACTGAAAGGCAGATAGGGCTCATCAGCTATGTACTTACAATCGGCTGGCATCGATTTCGAAACACTATGGCAGCGGGAAGTGTACATCAATGTGCGGAAGACAGCAGATCTAGACTTACTCTTTCTAAGATCATCAAAGAAGGCATCCAGGCAGCCCACACCACTTCAGTAGAAAGCACATGGTATCCTCCAAAATTAACCAGCTTTGTGCTACCCGCCCAAACAGCGGAGGTATGAATGACGCGCAGGTGTCGCAGTACGTTAGACAATCTCAACCGATGTTTGCATATAATAGATCACCAGTCAAGGAATCTGAGCAACTGCGGGATCGGACAGTCTCAGATTCTCTCTGATAATTTCGAAAGTAAATAGAAATGGGACGTGCATGGCATCAGCCGCGGGACTTGAATTCGGTCGCACCTTAATCAATCATGTCCTTTAATGGGCATATTTCAAACTAGGGAGACCGCAGCATACACGGACATAGACACGGCAGTAACAATTTGGGGGCTCAAATGCCGCTACCGGTAAGAATTGCACCCCTTCAATCCAGATGTTTAGGGAACTTATCCATGCCAATAAAGCATGAGAGATTGGGAGTAGCTGTGATATGTGGATACTTGGGATACCTTATGGAAGCTACTTATGAAATTGCTGAATTGCATATAGACAATTCGCCAGGAACCGGGAGAATGAGCCTATGGTGAAAGAAACGCCTTCGAGCATTGCAGTTACGCTGCATAGACTATCGTTCTGAGGAGACTGGCCATAAGTAACTGAAAGAATAGACAAGAAGAGAAGAGATGCTACAGAACGTAGGACATCATGCGCTTCTATGGATGCTAGAATGGGCGTGAAAATCAACACACGCGGACATGCTAAGTCATTGGTCCAAGTAAGCATAGCTATCTATCTGCCTTACGAAAAACACGGCACAGCAGTGACAGGGGGGTATCAGGCGCCTCTGCAAGACGACAACTACTCATGACTGATTTCTGTAGGACTTCTAGACCGGCAGTGCCGCATGTAGGTAGCCGGGTTTGCCAAGGGAAGACATCGAATAGATCGATTCTGCTTGCGGAGGAGGTCGAGCCGATTGTGACTCTTGATCTCTTCCTTCGGGGGCTCATGTAAATGGTGGCGGAGACGTCCAATGACTCCCTCCAGTCAAAGCGGGTCTAGTGTCTGGCCTTGTGGCGCCTCTTCGCCTTGGCCAGCGGGGCTTTCATGGTTTCAAACCCTTGGAGCTTATCTGGGGTCTGGAATCGAGTCATCGCCGTTGGTGCTATTTAAGCGGCTCGCAACTTGCGACTTGGTTTCTGCAAGCTTCCGGTAGCACAGACACGTTATTTTGCTTTTGGCATGCCTAAGAAAAGGCAGCATCTCAAATCATTCAAGCCAACCCCGACGGCATCTCCGGCGCCTGGGTCTTCGTCCAACGCAGCTGGTGAGTGTGAGCTGTTGCTGCTGCTGCTCTCATGTGCTTTCTCGTGCAGGCAGCTCTCTTGCGGCTTGACGGAAGCTGACCATCGATCCGACAGGCAAGACTTCTAGGAGCGTCAACGAGCTTCTGGCCAATTTGCGGCACGCCTCCCTTGGCCCAGAAGCTCCGCGACAACAACTACCAATAGTCACACCGTCTGTGCCGCCAGCCCTCAGGGAAATACTGCAGATCCCAGAGAGTCCACTCCCCGCACCCAGACGGCAGCACAGGCAGAGGATTGACAACAATGGCCGCCGTCTCCCAGCCGGCCCACCTCCCCCTCGAAGCTGGGTCACTGCCAGGAGCGGTGTTACGAATCGCGAGGGCCAACTGTCGCGTTCGACGGTGAACCGGTGCGGTCTGGTTGATTCGACTTTGCCCGGCACTTACCTGCCAGCCTCCCGGAGTCTCATTGATGTCACCCTCAGGAGGATTGCTGCTGACTGGGACATCCATCGGGAGTTTAATCAGTACCATCTGTATTACATACCCTCACATCTCAAGTCGGCACTGATTCGATGGATCGGAATTGCAAGCCCGGATGGTTTATCGCTTGATGACTTGAAATTGATACTCATCCCTTTTGAAATTTATGAAGACGAGGAGGGCGAGGATGCCTCTGAATATCACACCGCTGTTAACGCTGAAGTGAATTATCTAGACTTATCGGGAGCTCTGGGACGCTCTTTGACTCTCAAAGAAGTCTCTGAGCTTCTATATCCGCCTAAGAAACAGATGGACTTGGCTGAAACCCAAGAATCTTGGGATGAAAGCGAAATCATCCCAAGCCCTCCGAGAGTGCTGCTGCCAAACCTCACGCATCTATCGCTTGCCCTCGACCCACAGCTAGCCTCAGAAGCATCATGGAAGCAGCTGCTGGCCTTGTCGTCGAAGCTCACCACCATCACCCATTTGAGCCTTGCCTACTGGCCTGACCCGTGCCTTACTCCGCGGGCGCGTCTCTCTACCGTGACTACGCCACAAGGCCAGAGCGTCGCTTACGGAGGGACGAACTATTACTCTCATTCCATCGATCATGACTGGAGCGAGGCTCTGCTAGTTCTTAGAATGCTAAGCAGAAACCTATACGCACTGGAGTTTCTCGACCTTACGGGGTGTGCGCCGTGGTTCAAGGCTCTAATGCTACGCTCGGAGCATGATTTTGTGGACTGGGTCGGGGCATGGGGGAAAGTGACGCTACTACGAATATACACTGGGTGGACGCCTGGGGAGGATGCCCTTCCTTCCGAGTGGATCGCTTATCGCGAAGCTCTCGAGGTAGCTACTAATGTGGAGAGACATATCAGAACTGCACGGGCGGGGAAAGGCAGAATCATTACAGTGGAGAGGAATAAGCTGGATCAATAGACAGCTTTAGCAACAAAAGCATGTACTTAGAAATAGATAATATTGCACGGTCAAAGTTCAATTTTTATCCCTACCAGGTTGAGCTGGCAAGGCAACTCGATATGCGCTTTGTCTATCGAGTAGGTAGAGGATCAAGCCCCGAGGAAATAAAAAAGATAGCCTTCTTGGCTCTCAAATTGCTTCCAAACGGAGTTATACTTCATCGACAGCTCCACGGTTATTTGCCTCCCACAGAGCTTTAAACTTGCCGCCGCCAGGGGACTGCAACAGCTCTCGTGGTGATCCAATCTCAACAACACGGCCCTTATCCATGACCACGACGCGATCGAAATCGAGGATTGTCTCTAGATGATGGGCGATGGAGATGACGGTATGGTTTTTGAAATGCGTATTGATGGTGGTGCGGACCATTTGCTCCGTTTCTTTGTCTAAGCTGTCATTTATCATTTGGTTAGTATTAAATGCGGCGGTTATGAGCATGTCTATATTTACCTGCTACTGGCCTCGTCTAAGAGCACAACCTTGCCGCAATCTTTTTTCAACACAGCTCTTGCGAGGAAGAACAGCTGCTTCTGCCCATGACTAAGTATATCCTCTTCAAATGTTATATCAAGGCCACCGCGTGCGTCGATCACAGTCCATAGGTTGACTACTTGAAGAGCTTCAATAATAGCGCTTTCAGGATATGAGGACGACGGATCGATATTTTGGCGTATCGTCCCGGGAAGAACAAATTGGTCTTGGGTCACGGTAATAAGACGAGAGCGGATAATTTCCCGGGAGATGATGCTCAAGGGGATGGAGTCAATGGTGAGAGCGCCAGAAGATGGCTCGAGTAGGCGGAGAATGGTGAGAAGGAGAGATGACTTGCCACTGTTTTGGTAAGACCTAATTAGCATTGATTTGTAGAAGCAAAGAGCTAACAAGGGGGGATAAAAAGAGTTGGGGTGTTAAACATGCCTTCCTGTACGCCCACACACTCCAACTTTTTCGCCTGGCTTCAAATCCAGGGTAACGCCATCGAGAGCCTTGATATCACCATTCTCGCCGTACGATGCTTCAAGGTCACGTATGACAACATGCCCTCTGTTAGGCCAGTCGGCAGTCGGCTCTTGATCCTCCCCTGGAAGACTCTCGTTTGGAGTCTCTTCTGCAAATTGCTTGATACGAGCAACAGCCCCGATGGAAGTCTCGATGGAAGTCCAGAACTGGATGAGCATGTTGAGCGTTTCGCTCATGGATATGAGCTGAACCAGCGAAACACCGGCGAGCCCTACTGAGACAGAACCACGGAGCTTGACGGCGAAACCAACGACGAGGAGAGCCAGCGCTGTAGTAGTGAGGTCAAGGACAAGAACAAGCCATCGCTGGACCATGATGAGTAGATAGAAAGGTCGCTGAGATCGATCGACCAATTGATGGTTCTTCAAGATGGCTTGCTTTTGCCATCCAAACGCCCGGATGGTGGAAATCCCGGAGAGCGTTTCCATGAACTGCGTATAGACTGGAGCCTTTTCTTCGAGATCGAGGAGACGAAGCTGTCGTGATGTGCGGAGGTAGCCACGCTGGAGGAAGTAGTATAACGCGGCGAGAAAGGGGAAGCTGATGGCTACATAGTAGGATGAGGCCGCGAGAAGACCTGCTCTGGCAAGGACCCCGAAGAAACCTGGTTGACGGTGAGTTCGAAGAGTGCCTGTAGAATGTATGGGTGATGGAATTGAATTTGTACTGACTTGCTATTGTCACCACGAGTGCGAGTGGGAGGTTATTGTCCAGGATGCCAATATCTTGAGAGAATCTAATGCAGTATATGAGCAACCAGCATTATCAGAGTGATAGGACCAAGCCACTTACCTGGTGGTAATTGCTCCCAAGTCGGTCGTCGTAAAAAGTGATAGCGGTGCACTAGAAGTGATGAGACTTAGGAGATGTATATCTTATGGAGGCTTGTGAAATATGAACTGACCTAATGACTGCTGAGAGGAGACTGTGGTGAAGAGATATCCCAGACTTTGCTGCGACAGCAACGAGAACGAACCTTTAACCAGTTAGTTCGGGGCCTTTTCGTGGGACAAGTTGACAGTTATATGCTTACCATATGAGCAAGGCAAACCAGAAGACGCCGATTACTTGCAAAGCAGCGTAGACTCCTAGGTATAGGCCCGATCGATTATGCCCTTGAGCATTCGAATCTGACCAAAATTCTAGCCAAACAGCTATACATTTTCGTTGGCTATTAGTATTAAAGAGCAAAACATCATTAGCCCGATTGGTAGTTCAGCTTACTTGGAAAGCTCTGTAAGAAAGCCCAGATCAGCTCAAGAACAAATAAGGTGACGATGAATACTGTCCCTATACTGCCAAAATAGTACTTGTAGACCGTCGAATCTCCAGTCTGTCTACGTTTATCGTGCTTGACTTCTACCTGCTTCGCTTTGTATTCGACTTTTGGCACTGAGGCTTGATCTGCAATTTCAGAGATTTTCTCGTCTTGGCTGGCATCAGTGCTAGCAACAATAGACTTGCTCGCCATCAAAGCCCGGACATATCCGTCCGCGACTGAGAGCCTTTCGAAAGATCCTTGCTCGGTAATTTTGCCCTCCCGCCCAAGAGCGATAATATAGTCTGCTGAAGCGAGGAAGTCGACTTGATTGAATATGTTAGCACGAAATATTTAATGATGTAAACTGGTAACAAACCGGATTGCGTAGCTAGAATAATGGCTGTATTCGATCTTCTCAGCAGCCCTGTATTTGAAGAGAACAAATTCTTGAAGATGCGCTGTGAGGTGGCGTTGTCCAATCCGCTAAAGATGTCGTCAAATAGAGCGATTTGAGGTCGAGAATATACGGCTCTAGCCAACGCCTTACAAACAGGAAGAAGAAGAAAATACAGAATTAGATATTCTTTTCTTGCCTATAGCATGTTAACTTGGGGTAACTCACCACGCGTTGCTTTTGGCCGCCACTGAGAGCAAGTCCCTTGCTACCCACAACGGTGAAATCGCCTTGAGGGAGCTGCGTAAAGTCTTCTTCAAGCTCGCACGCTTTGACGGTTTGGTCATATAGGTCTTGGTCAAAGTGGGAGTATCCTATGATATTATCTCGGATAGTTTGATTCTGAAAAGGTTAAGCTTGACAGTTTTTATTTCCGTGGTGAGAGAATTGGACACTACTTACCATGATCCAAGGAGTTTGTTCGCACCATGAAAGAGAGCTACTGGCCAAGGAAACTTTTCCATTTGAATGAGGTACTTCTCCCAGGATTCCTTTGAGTAATGTTGTCTTGCCAGATGCAACAGGGCCGATTAAAAGAGCAAGTTGACTGCGACTGAGGGAGAAGGAAACGTTGCTCAGAACAGGTCGATCTGGCGACCAGTTAAATGTAGCATTCTCAACGTCAATAACAGTCGCAAAGTTGCTCGGAGTACTTGACAAAGACATATGAGGAGTGAGAGGCCTTAGAGTCTGAAGCTCCATCAGGCCAGATTCCTCGCCAACCACTGCAGTTGAATCAGTAGTATTGGCCACTTCCATCATCCGATATTCATCTCGAGTAGACTTGATCAGGAACTTTTGGATACGATCAAATGCACCAAAGGCAGCACTCAGATCAAGTATCACCTCAAAAATCCAAAACAGAGGCTGTGCCAGTAGCGTAATAAGTGACAACGCAGCAAACATTCTTGTCGCGTCGAGCACCTGACCTGTCGCTGCTGTAATGCCCTGGAACATGGCGAACGCAAGGACTGGGGATAAGAGCAGTGGCACTTGCGCAACTGAAGATGTCACCGCTCCAACGACTCTGAAGGGCTTGGACGCGGTGATTTCTTGTACACGAAGAGCGGCAATGGTGTCGGATAGATGCTGAGAGAGACCAGACATCTTGATGCTCTTGATGTGGCCAATCATGGCAGAAGTGATTCCTGTAGGACATTAGAGATTCTATATACAAATAGGAAGTGCAGAAAGAAGGAATGACTATTAAAAAAAGCTTGATATTGCCTATGGAACTTACCAACTCGCTTTTGAGTCTTCTCAAGCCAACCAACTCGGTACTTCTTGGCAAGCGGCGAAACGAGCATAGTCGCTACCAACGAAATAACAGATACCACTATGGGGCCTGCGGCTGCATATCCAATCTGTTGACTCAGAAGCCAGGTTGCGACGGCAATTTGGATGATATTGGCCCAAAATTCGTGAATCTCTCTCATAGCACGACCAATGACATCGACCTTGTACATCATTAAAAAAAACTGTTATCAGCACGCCTCTCGAGAGGAAAAGGAAAGGCGAGTATTCACAAGCCGGAAACTTACATCAGAAGACATGAGAGTCAGCGCAGCAGAATCGTCAATCGCAACGACGCTCACTTCCGTAACCTTGGAGAACACCGCCGAGACGAGGATCCCGCGGAGCATCGTGACGCAGCGGCCATTCTGATGCCAGTACAGGGCCTGCGTGGCTGCAATGCCGATATACACCAGTCCATAGGCCCCAACGAGTCCGTAGCCAATGTTCACTGGCTGCGTCTCGTCATTGAGAAAGCCGAGAAAGCGGGTCAAGACCAGGGGCTGGCAGATGGTGAATGCGAGAAGGGCAAGCCGTGGGACAATGACAGAAAAGAGAGCAGAGCGCAGCGTGACGATACAGCAAAGAATGAGGCGATGCTGGCTCGCCTGAGTGGAGGGAGATGCTGGATAAGGGGCGGATTTCCCTCGAGTTAGTAAAGGTAGGCTCGACAAAGCTTCAGCTCTATTGAGCTTCTACGGTTTTTAATTTAAATTGTTTATGATTTTGTATTGTATTGTTTTACGACTATCTAATGGAATTTGAGGGGGAAGGAGAAAGCACCAACCTTTTCGCCAGTGCCACCAAAATCTCTCACTCAAGCTCGAGATGCTCATCTCCTCGTCCAGCGGGAACAAGTCCGCCGGCCGCAGCAGACGCCGGAATCCAGTCCGGAGGAGTGGAGCCACCCACGCGAACACGGCCCGGCTATACAAACCAGAGGTCTCTTCCGGGGCGAGCGTCGGCCGGCCAACAACGTGGTTCGCCTTTTCTCTTGCCTCGAGCACCAGCAGCGTCGCCTTCAGAGCAAAAGACACTGTAAGAACGGCCTGGATGGATGTCGCGGAGAGGGAGAGCCACACGGTGCGCAGGACGGCAGCGTCAAGCAGCAGGGATACGAGCAAAAAGAGATTCAAGAGCGAGGACGGGTGGAGGGATCTGGCATGTTCATAATACGAGAGGGCACAGGACACGAGGCTGGAGATGAAACAGATGCTTGCCGCAGCAACAGACACGCTATTGAGACGCGCAGGTCCATGGTGAGTTGCCCAGAGTCCGATGAGGACCAGCTGGAGAGCAGCAAGGCAGCCCGTGACAGACTGGAAGGCAGAGAAGAGGGGGGACGAAATGAGTCTCTGTGGCTTCTTTCATGAGGGCGTCTCTGGCGGGAAAGCTACTTACCAGCTTCATCATACGCGATGCATGGTCGGCCACCTTGATTGGCAACTTACGCAGCTGACGGAGTCGCAGCGGCGCCACGAGAACGAGCATCGCAGCCGGGAGGAGCACAAGGATGGACTGCTCAAAGACGAGGGTGAAGTCGAAGCCATCGCGACAGGCGGCGTCGACGACAGGGCCGAACGCAGCGTCTGCGGTGGGAGCGCAGAGGGGAGTGGAGGATATATTCATGACAGGGCACAATCGATTTTTACTTGAATCCAGGAGAGTGAAGGCGAAGAAGAAGAAGAAATAACACGGTCGGCAGCAATCGAGGGGAAGGGGGGGCGAGCTGCATTTAAGCGCGTGTCGGGGATATGAAGGATTGCCGGTTAATATTGCATTATCAGCATCCACTGCTCTTTGGGCCAAGCAAATAGACCAAATTACTAGCGGTGCTACACCCAATTCAATTCGAAGTGGGAACAAAGATCTTTTGTCGAGACAAGGCCCGGCTTACCTGCCATTTCGGGCATTACCTAGATTCGACATCGTTCTGGAGATGGACGAGATGCTGCCAGTGCTGGGTATTCTGTTTATGCATACTTCTTAGTCTAGGTACGTGTAGGAAACAGTCAATACAGTACTACGATATATGGCACATGTAATTGGCGCCAAGGTTATATACTCTAAGAACATGGAACAAACACTAGGGAATTAGAATCAGCGAAACAAAGGCACGCGCTCTGGGGCAGAATATTATACAGCTAGTAGGGAATTTCTACTGATGTCTACATCTACATCGCTCCTTGCTCCTTGCAGCAGCCGAAATATTATGCAACTTGAGCACTGACCGTCTTAGTAGATCTACAAGCGCGTTTTCAGCTACATAGAACCAGCCTCACTCGTAGACTCTAGTCCGGCGCCAACCGTACCGAGGCAAACTGGCTCGTAGTAGCCACAATCAGAGGCTTGGAAACCAGATACGCAGCATCATCTGCAGCGAGTAGATGTCTACACCAAAACAAACAAGAGGAAAAGAGGACAATATTCATGCGTGTTTTTTAACAGATTTATTTCAAATTTCTTTATGCTCTAATGGCATTCTATCCCACAAGTGCTTTCTCTAGCAGCAACGTTGCGTCTTAATTCATGTAAAAACCCGCCATGATTCCTCTCTTTCGCAAGAGTTTGTAAAGAACAATTTACTCGGGAGTCTTGTTGGGGTCGAATTCGTACTTGACCTTGAGCTCCTCGACGAGCTCGACGTACTTCTTCTGGGCCTCGGCGGGGTCGGTGATGCCCTCCTCCTCGTAGGCGGCCTCCCAGGCCTTCCACTTGGCGCGGGCCTATGACAAGTAAAAGGGTTAGTATTTCATGGACGTTATCAAACTTGGGAGAGGAATTTCCCGCTCGTTCGCGCATCGTACCTCGAAGGAGAACCGAGAAGGCTCTTCAGACTTCTTGAACTCGAAGCCCTTGCCAATCTTGAAAAGAGCTATAAAAGAAAGAGATAAATTAGCACATCGTCCTCATTTGCGTATTCGTACATTTCCCCGTCTTCTCCTCGTAAACTAAAGCTCCCTCCTATTGCCTTTCCAACCAACACACTCCAGCTCTTCAGAGGGGGGGAATCATCGCATACCGTAGAGGCGCAAAAGGTCGTCGTTGTTAGGCTTCTTGGTCAACTGCTTGACCTCGATCAGGGCCTTGGAAAATTCGGGAGACTCAGGAGCCGACATGGTTAAAGACGTTTTCTTTCTTCGGTGTATGATAAAAGAAAGAAGAAAGGCATGGTACGATTCGCGAAAAAGAAAGCTCCCCTTGGTAGCTCAGCGGGGTAAGGCCAATGAAGCTAGCAGTCTAAAGGGGGGAACGCCAAAAGGAGGGGCAGATGACGAGCATGAACCTTTGTTGGGGCGATTGCCTTGTTGAGAACCAGAATCACATGCCGGGATGCATCAGCTGCAGCAGTCCTGTTCGACATTCATTGATGATGATGGCCCTTGCAACTCGCGTGGAATGCAGTATCTTGTAATGACAGAGCCGTGCAATAGTATGACCATGGCTAGAAAATACACAGCTGGACCAAGGGAAACCGTAACTTGAGCAACGTCTAACGAAGTTTGAAACCAACTGCAACCAACAACTTGATTACCTACAACCCCGATCTATGCATGTACACTTCCAAACAGATATATACCTTACCTATCCTTACATCTGCAAACCATTATCAACCAATCTCGCTCACAAAGAAAAAAAAAATAAACACCCAAAAATGATTTTCCTCCAGAATCTACCCGTATCTTCTCTCCACATCACTTCCCCCCTTTCCTTAGCCTCTCTTCTCATCTTCAATCTCACTCTGCAGCTGCTCCAGGATTTGCTCTCGAGACCGCAAGTGGGCTTCCAGACCATCCACCTGCTCGCGCACCGTCTCTAGATCATCCGATATGCTCTTCAGGTTTCCACCCACGGCGCTCTTGCCCTTGCCCTCTTCCAGGTCTCTCAGCTCTCGTCGCTTATAGTCCAGAAGCTGGTCCAGCTCCCTCTTGACGAGCGCCGGCTTGGAATCGCGCTTCCCGCCCTTGCGTCTCTCTGCAATCTCTTCTACCTTTCGCATCTTCTCTTCCAAGTCTTGCAGCTGGCGCTTGAGTCTCACTTCCTCCCAGTCCTCCGTCTTCTCCGTCGAGAAGTCGGTGCCTGCTGTCTTGAAGCCGCTGCGTCCGAGTCTTGTCAGGTACTGGTCGCCGAACTTGGCCTTCCGACCCGTCGCTGTAGAATCATCTGCCTTTGTTGCCCACCGTGACGAGACTCCCGTCTTTTGGTTGTCAACCTGGTAGTCGATCTGGTTGCGCTCAAAGCTTGATCGTAGTGAGGCAGGTACTGTGCGAGGAATGCGGTATCCGTCGTGTCGATTGTTGAGAATGTGGAGGAACGCAAGACAAGCGTCCTTGTTGATGCTTGATGAAGCAGAGGGGTTGATCAGGTTCCAAGCAGATCGAATGTCTGTATCGGGGACGTCTAAAGACTCGTAAAGATCCTCAAGGGATGCGACTGCAATCGAGTTAATATCTGACGCGCTCATCTTGGCAAAAGTCAAGGGGATAATCTAACATGCTACTTCTCCTCGCATATCCCGACTCTCTTGGTAAATCTGCTCGTACTTGGCCTTGTCCTCTGGCTTCATGTACCACTCGAACCCATCCTTCAGGCCGGGAGTGTCATCCTCGTCTTCGACTTGCTCAAATTGTGGCTGCTTCCCCGTGATGGCTTTGGTTGCTTGCACCAGATGAGCTTTCGATTCCGGGATCATCCAGTCCGGGAGCGTCTTTGGTACGTCGGCATATTCCTGACAAACGCGGAAATGTCATTAGTTGTCTAGCCCTGACCATTGAGAACGCGTCTCAGGGTATGTCGGGGCCGTAGATAGCTTACTCCGTTTAGAATATCAAAGATGAGCCGCATAGCGACGCAAAACTCCTCAAAGTCCAGGTTACCATCGTTATCCACGTCCGCCAAATCCCACACTTTTTCTAGCTGGTCATCGCGAAGGCCACTGTTCTTGAGCACGGGCGCAGCCTGTTCGCCAGTAAGGAACTGTCCGCCGCCTGTCCTGTCTGAAAAGATATTCCAGTATGTCTCAATTTCCTTCTGCTCAATCTTGGGAGGCATCGTCTATGGAGCTCGGATCCGAGGAGTGCCGCTTTTGGGGGGGAGTTAGATTGGAATTGGCCCACGAAGCTTGGTCTGCAATCACCGGGCGCAACTAAAAGGCGCTGGGGAAAAGAGCACGACGCCAAACAGAGCACAAAGAAATCGCGAAAGCGCAAAGACAGCCGCAAGGGACGAGAGTGAGCGAACGGGTGCAAGAACAAGGAGTCGCAAGCAAGTGACGAAGCTACGGATGTTCCCTTTGGCGATGCCCAGTACGGAGAGACTACCTACCTAGTAGTACCTTATAGACCATGTACATGCGCTTTGTACCTGGACGCTACTTGGAATGGGACGGGGTACATGTGCCTGTGCCCGGATTGGCGGAGCCTAGGGCCTCACTTTACGGCTATGCGAATATGAATACAGGGGACCTGGGTGGCGCTACACTATTAACCTATGCTCATTCTGTGCTTCGCCAGTGCAGATAAGGCCAATCTGAGTAAGAAATTTTATATATTCCTAGCGCAGCAATCAGGTACCTACATATTCTGATCATCCAAAACGGCAAGTGAGGCTCATTCCTCACTATAGTCGGTAGACTTGGCTCTTGCGCCATGATACAATACATGTTTCATAAGCAAATAAACTGCCTAATTACATATTTCTACCAAAGACCGTCACGCCTCACAAGCCGATTATTTAAACCGGCCAATCACAGCTGCTTAATATTCTGTATGCCCCACGCGACAACCGAGAAGGGGGAAAAGGCCCAGGGTCCATCCAGTTAGAGGGGCGTCCATTTCTTTTCACATTGTCGGGGACATTGTCAGTCGGGGATTTGTTGGCTGGGGCATAATTTCATACAAGTATTTAAGCTTGATACCCATCGCCACGCAGGAGACCTGAGTGGCCATTCTTTTTTTCGGTTAAGAGGCGTCCTTTGATTTCTTTTCTTTTCTTTTCTTTTCTTATAGACAAGATCGTTGCATCCCAAACAAACGAGCCGCAATGTCGACAACCATTACCACCACCACGGCGCAGCCGATTACGGCTGAGGCCATGCTTCGTCTTTTCCCAGACATCGATACCACCAGCGAGGCACTGACCGGCCACGATGAGGAGCAAATCCGACTGATGGACGAGGTCTGCATCGTCACTGACGAGAACGATATGCCCATTGGCACTGCGAGCAAGAAGATTTGTGCGAAACCTCTCCTTCCCCCTGGAATGTCCAATGTGGGCATAGCAATAGCAATTCTGTCGGCTAATACGATTTTCTTGAAAAATATTAGGCCACCTGATGACCAACATCGACAAGGGACTCTTGCACCGTGCCTTTTCCGTCTTCCTTTTCAACGACAAGAACGAGCTACTGCTTCAGCAGCGCGCCTCTGAGAAGATTACCTTCCCAGACATGTGGACCAACACCTGCTGCTCGCACCCGCTGAGCATTCCCACCGAGACTGGCGCAAACCTGGTCGACTCCATCGCTGGAGCGAAGCGTGCCGCTCAGCGCAAGCTGGAACACGAGCTCGGCATCAAGAAGGAGCAGGTCCCCTTTGAGGACTTCCGCTTCCTGACCCGAATCCACTACAAGGCTCCTAGCGATGGCAAATGGGGCGAGCACGAGAGTAAGAGATTGAACAGCTTCCCACCCCGAATCAGGACTCCAAGCTAACGGTGAAATCTTGCAACAGTTGACTACATCCTCTTCATCAAGGCCAACGTCGACCTCAACATCAACGAGAACGAGGTGCAGGCCGTTCAATACGTCACCCCCGAGAACCTCAAGAAGCAGTTTGAAGACCCCAGCCTCAAGTTCACCCCCTGGTTCAAGCTGATCTGCAACTCCATGCTCTTCCAGTGGTGGGAGAGCTTAGACTCTGGTCTGGACAAGTACACCAACGAGCAGGAGATCCGACGAATGCTGTAATGGGCTTTTACTTGGATACGAATACGATCTAGGGGGGGGGAGGGGGCGAGGAAACGTAATGTGGACGAGCGAGCGAATTTGGCACAATGTGTGTCTCTTCTTTTTCCTCTTCGAGGAAGATGACGATTCAAAAGAGGGTAAAAAGTACTGGGGTCAAATATGCGGTTAAATATGCTTGTGTTTGTGAGCTTGACAATCTCTATTAGATTATTCCTAGAGCAGAGTTAGATGCGGGACCGTAATAACCAAGATATCAATAAACGAATCAGTCTAGATGAAGTTAAAGCTGCCTTATACCGATAGTTTGCTGCAATTCCTCTGTTGAATATCCAAAGCCACCAACATCAGTCGGCGCTCGTACGGGATGGAGATAAGGCCACCGCCAAGGCTGCTCACTGTGTGAATTGAGGCGCCAGAACAGGTCACATGGCTCTCCTGCGTAGGATGAATCATATCACGTCAATGTAGCGACAGGGAATCTCTGGTTGTGAAACTTGAAGGGTTGAGAATCGCTACACAACAGCTGAGACGCTCTCGTATTCGTATCGGAATTCGTATAGGATAGGTGAGAATTGGTGCGAGTCGTGAGCTACCCTAAAGAGAGGTATGAAATTCGCATGCTTTGCCACAGAAAGCACAGTAATGCGTGAAATTCAATCAATTATAAATAAAGTTCAAGGCATACTATAACGGGAAGTCATGTAAAGCTACCTGGTCAAATCAGCTGCGATTTCTCCCATCAACTCAATGGTTTCGTCACATATGACAGTTTAACACTGAAACCAGCCAGGTATCACTCCCATGCTCCATGAGAAGAGCAATCCTTGAGCCTATAAACGCTTCTAATGGTATCCAATCCCATCAAGGTGCCAAATGTCATCCGTTTGCCTCCTTCACATGATTCCTATTCTATTTGCAGCAAGCAAGCACTAAATCCCAGGTCAGCATGCGTCAACACGACTTGACTGGTTGAGTTTCGTTTCACATGCGGAGATCCTGGCTCTACAGTACATGAGAAGCGCCATTCCCACAAACGCTATTATATAACAAGAACGCCAATGATTGCATGCCATTCTCGAGCTATCACGTACGATTCAAAACGTTAGCTCATAATTACCCCAGAGCCTCAATGAAGCCACCCTTTCTACTCTTCTTCCCCGCAAAATGAATGCCGAATCTGGTATCTCATCATCAGCAACACGCGCGGCACGAGACCCAGCACGCATGCCTGGCAAGTGCCTTATTCGTCCAATTGTGCATGTACTGCATGGTAATATTTATATATTTGGAGATAGGAGCAAAAAGAGAATCCAGATGCAACCAACCAGCTGTGGCTGCCTCGTATCGTCAGTGTCTTTTATCCCCCACGCTCTCAGCAGCGTACAAATACTTTACATAATGGTGGTATCTCGGGAGCGTATTGACTGATAGACGAAAGTTTAGGCTCACATCATATCTATTCTTTAGCCAATTATGTATCTTATCATGAGAATCTAGAACGAACAACAACAGCTACATGTGTTATTACTTCGGCCAATGTTTCATCCCTTAAACCTACACCCATATCGTCTGTCTTTCCATCTATCTACAGTGGGCTGGTGGATCGGTTTCCATTTCCCGGGGGAGGCTCCAGGCGGCCCCATCCCCTAGCTGCTAGCGCTGAGGCCCGCTGTAGGGCGCGCGGGGCCGCTGGTTTCCTCCACCAAATGCAGTATAAGTTCGCCGGCAGACTCCGCACCCCTTTGGTCGCCGGCCTAGCATCATTGATATGGGCGTCAACGGCGGAGAGTGCGAGATAGCAGCCTGTTGCGGTTAGGCGTGGAGGTAACAGCGAGAAGGGATCTAGATAACAGATCCGTCTTTGGGTGAAGGGAGCAGATACCGGCCGTCTCTACAGTATGTACGTCCCCGAGTTGGGTGATGTGATACCGATAATACAGGAATCAAGGCGTAGTTCCAGGTACATGTAGTCTCTCGTTGTGATGGGTAACGACACCCTCAATAAAAACAGTATCAGCAACAGCATCCAATTCCAACAACATTGAGCCCAAGGCTACACAGCCAAGCCCATTTCCCACGCAGCAGTCGTGATGCCACCCCGTCCGACCGAGGCGGCGCATCATCTGACCACAAGCCTGACCTCGGCGGTCCGCCAATCGTGGATCCCCTCAGTCAAGCTCGGCCAACCAAGCGTGGGGACCGGCCACACGCCATAGATCTCGCTGCCATTATTTGCTGCCCTTATCTCTTTTGCTTGGGCGACTTGCCGTGTCCCGGTGTCATCGGAGTTTCCCCCGTTTCATTGCACCGTAATGGCTTCGCTAGCGGCCGCAAGACGGATGACATGGTTGGTAGTGTTAGTCGTAGCATTCAGCTCTTCACGGTGGTTTGCGTGTGTGTTAGTCCGCCAGACGAGGATTCAGTAGGCGGGTGCAGATCCGTGTCGGACCCCTACAAAACCCCCCATCTTCGGTAGATAGGAACCCTTCTTCTTCTTCCTCTTCACCTCTGCTTCACCTGGGCATTTTTTCTCGATCTGATCTAAATCCGATCTGGTAAACAATCTGCCTGCACGACAGCGTCTCGCCAAGAATAGCAACGCTCTAACCCACCGCCGTATAGAAGGCTAACAAGGAAAACAAAAGAAAGGTTAAAGGAACGGGGAAGGGAAAAGAGAAAGACTCAAAACTGGGCCTAGGTCATCCATACTGAGGGCTTGGGAAAGAGGCTATCCTTTTTGTATTCCCCTCTTTGGATCTTGTGTTAGAAGTTGCCTGCTTCAACTACTGCTCTTGACACACTTTACTCTAACTATTGGTCATCGCCATCACTGCTATCACAATCTCTCGTCTCGTCCCATCTCATTGTGGTTTCCGTCTCCATTCTTCACCCTCTGCATAGACGATATCCTTCTGGGTCGTCGTCAGTGAAGTGATTGATTGTTTGACTGGTTATTCATAACAACCTCCGCCGTTGTCGCCCTCCATCTTTATTTAAAAAAAAAAACTTCAATACCTCCTTCATATCCTAGCCATACTTGTCCTGCATTACTTGCTCCTCAATTCATATCACTTCTCCCCCTTCTCGCTCCCATACTCCAAATCTCTTCAAAGTTTGACGGTCCTGGGGCCTTAAACACCACATTGATGTCGGTTGACCTACGCGACTGCCTCAACTGCCTGCAACACCCCTCCAGGTTTATGCCCATTTCGAGATCACAACTCTCAAGGGTCCATACCGGCGATAGTGCCCATAATATAATACGTGAGTCGAACTCGTTCAGAGTCTCCAGCCCAACCAATTCCATGATCATTACTAAACCAGGCGCCCTTTTTGTGCGGCTTCCACTTATACAGGAAGTATCGAGTGAATGGAAAGAGTGAAACCAATAACTCTAAAGAAAAGAACAAACAAACCAAATAAGAAAAATCAGTTACAAATCAACAACTTTTGCCCGCCATGGCGCACGTTATAAGCAAAACCGCCATTGATACCATCACGACCACCGCCTCCGCCGCTACCGCAACAGCCATTGTGGACCGCCGCCGCTCTCTTGTTCCTCAGTCCTGGGAGAAATCTGTTCGCAAGATTGGCCTGACTGAATGCGAACAGGCGGGAGTCTCTCTCGCCCACGCCTTTGCCGCCGATGCCTTGAGCATGTATCTCCTCGACGGCGACGAAACGGATCGGTACTCGGACGAGACCAAATGGAAGCTCCACGTCCGCATCATGACGTATCTGGTGTCTGCCCATTGCTACAGTGGCCTCGTCACAACCATTGGCCCAGATTATGACTGCGTAGCGTTGTGGTGAGTCCCATGTTATACTCTTCAATATAGAATGTGTGGTGTTGATCAAACCGTCTAGGATGCCTCCTGGGATGCACATGGACGACTGGTGGACCATCTTCCGAAGTGGCATGTGGCGCCTCTATTACCAACTTGGCTCAGAGGGCCGCAAGCGCTACTACGAAGATGTGCTGCCTCTCCTGCATGAGACAATGGACGAAGTCATGGGAGACCGCGAGTACTACTATCTTGCTTATATCGGTACCAAGCCCAGCGCTAGAGGCAAAGGCTATGCCAAGAAGCTCATCATGGACATGGCGGCAAAGGTAAGCCAACTCTTCTCCGCATAAAACGAAGAAGAAGCGAAAACAAAAGAGAGAAAGAAAGACGAGACTGACGAGTTAACCGCCATGTAGGCTGATGCTGAGAACCGTGCCATGTACCTTGAATCCAGCTCCAGCGACAACATCAGCTACTACGAGCGCTTCGGCTTCAAGTACCGCAAGGAAATCTCCTTCAAGAGAGGACCGGTGCCCGTGCCGCTCTACATCATGGTGCGCGAGCCAGTAGCCGCCAAAGCAGCCGAAGAAGCAGTGCCGACGCTGGACCAGATTGAGACTGTCAAAGTCTGATTTCTGCGACTGCAGTTGGCTGCTTCAGCCTCCTTTGGAGAATTTCAAGCTTGACAAGATTGTTGATAAGTTTGAACCCCTTCTACTTCGTTCTCTCCTTCCCATGACTCTTTGATCTTGAAAGTTGCGTGGCATATAAGTCGATTGGCCCAGCCTCTCATTAATCTTATCATAAACTTGACTTTGGACAAATTTTGTATTTTACCGTACGTTCGTTATCGTTTGTTGCTGTTTTGTTTTTCATCCTGTTCAGTGAGATACCTTTTTTCACTCACTTGACCAAATCCTGTCTCTACCGTACACTATTATATATCAAAAAAAGATTTTGCGTCAACGTCAAAACTGCCCTTAGTAATCTAAAATTGCCCATGTCTCGTCATCCACAGTTGTATATATCAGGCCCTGTCCCAAAAGCTCATCTGCCGCTGTAATCACTTCCCGCATGCCCAGCCCCGTTCCTCCCGTAATATTGCTCAGATGCATTCCGTCGTTGCCTCCGGGTGTGTTGTTCAAGTAGTTGTATACTTTCTTCGCAAAAGCGCTGCATCCAGAGAGCTTGCTGGGGAGCTGGGCGCCACCACCGCCGGCATTGAAGCCGTCGCCGCCGTCAACGAACATGCTATCCCCGTTTGCGTTTGCTGCCGCGCCGGCAGGGCCTCGGGTGTTGACTAGGTGCACGTAGGTTGCCTCCAGCAGGTGGTAGTTGACCTCGTTGAAATCTGTGACCGGCCGGATGACGTGGGCTCCAACGTGTCGCTTATTGGAAAATGATTTTAGGCGGCCCCATACGCGGATGTGTGAATCAATCTCGAAGCTGGGTTCTGCATCGCCTTGCTTGTCTGCGTCGATCCACTTCTTGACGTCAATCTGTCCTGTGCCATCGTCGACCCTGAATGTCAGGTTTGTCTGCTGTGGGTTTATGCTGCGGACTTGGCCGACGAATGTGATTTGTGTGATGGGAGTGCCGTCCACTTTGAACTCTGCACCGGAGTACGGTTCCTCTGCGTCGAGGATTTGCTTGATTGTCAAGGGCCGTAATGATTCATCTTGATATGACTGCGGGTTTTGGCATGCGTCAGCCAACAGCTATGGCATTCTGCATATATGCAGCATCAAACGTGAGATTGTTGAGCTTACCTTGCCGCCGCCACCACCTTGGCTGCCTTGCTGTGAACCCCCTCCAGCAAAGAAGCCTCCAGAATCATCGCCGCCTTGGGCGCCGTAGCCAGGTTTGGAGTATCCGTCGTATGCAGCTGTAAGCAGGAGATGAGCACAGAACAGTCCAAATTATGAACGGGGGGTTGCCTTACACATTATGGCGAGAGTGATGTGGTGAACGCTGGCTTTTCTCGAAAGTGGGAGACGCGTTTGAAGCGCGCCATGGGTTTAATGGATTTTGCCCCGCGACAAGCTAGGCCCAAGTACGAGTACGAGCAGTGGGCTGACTCAGCAGCTAGGCTCAGGTGTGCAGTACCTCAGTACGGAGTACCTGTAGTGCCTTTAGTCTACATGATATCACGATATTAGGCAGTTTCGAGTATTTGCTGTTCTTCACTTTTCACTTTACGATTGTTAAAAATTGGCCGTAAAATGCAGGTGGATTGCTGAAGAATACTCGTTTGTAGTCAGATACATGACTAAATCATGATGCGTAGAATAATCTCGAATTGGAAGTTGGAGACTTTTATCCTCGGTACGATGTATGTGTAGGGGCTCATAGCGCATGCATGGTGCTGTACATACATGTGGCTCACTGTAATAGGTACATGTAAGGCACTCACTGTGTCTTGTGCATCAACACCACATTCTATTCTACGATTCGATGGAATGCCGTATCCAATATCCATCTCACTACTCTCCTCATTCAACCAATTGAATTGAATTTTTCATTTTTTTTTTTCTTTTCAATTTAAATCTTGACATCTAAACATGACCTAGATAGAGACCCGACTTCAGTCGCCGCCGTCACGAGATTCCGCACGGCATCTCCATCACCAGCGCCGGCCAATAGGCGCTCCGCATATTCAGCCTCGGCAAGATTCCAGCCGGGGGTCGCATAATAGCCTGGAACTGGGTGGCCGGGACGCCAGTCAAACCACGGAGCATGATCGCATAAGCCGGGGTTGACATCAACAATAATTCGCCGCCTCTCTTGCTTCATACCCTTCCATCGCGTTCTACACAAGTCTTCCCACGGCGACCAGTCAATACCCGGGCCACTTTGCTTTTCTTTTCTTGTCCTCCTCTCATTCATGGCGATAGCGTTGCGTTGACTTGTTCCTGTGTTTCTGCGCTCATCAACTCCAACTCCAACATTAACACCAACATCATCACTAAATCGCATACGCCATGGGAAGATCCCAGACCGCGACCCTCCCGCTAATTCCTCTCCCTCGCGGGACCGTCCTGCTGCCCGGCCTTGCCTACCGCGTCACCGTCAACTCCAGCCGACCCGACTTGCCGGCTCTTCTCGCCTACGTCTACGAGCTCGCCGCATCAAAGGGCCCGGATGGCCGCATCGACTCTATCCCGATAGCATGCGTGCCGGTGTCTTCCCCGCTGGTCGGCCCGGACGGCCAGCTCCTCATCACCAATGGTGAGGACCCAGAGAGCGCCCGGGTCGACTCGATCAACCCGGGCACTGCAAAGAAGGACGATTTGTTTGGCTTTGGAGTCGCTGCCAAGATCGTCGGCATTGATGGACGCGGGTCTGGCGAGTTCGCGCTGCGGGTTGAGGGCACAAGCAGGATTAGATTGGACTCGATAATTCGCGAGCGTCCTTTTTTCGAGGCAAAAGCAACTTACTATGAAGACGAAGGTAGGTCATCTCACACCCATGTCTCCTCACTAGAATCCCTTTCTTTGATCTGAGCTTTTGGTTTCTAATCTCGGGTTGCCTTTACCAGTCGATGTCACCGATAAGCAGCTGCAAGACCTGTTCAGCCTGCTAAAAATGCGCTCAAGAGAGCTGGTCACGATTCTTCGCATCTCATCATTGCTTCCTCGCACAGGCGGCCCGGCCCTCTCCCCCGCAGTCACAAAACGATTAGAAATGCTCATAATCAGAAGGGAGCTGAAAGAGGCTGGCCTGCTGGCTGACTTCATGGCCAACCTTCTCGATGGCACTCATGAAGAAAAGCTCGGCATTCTAGCCGCCCTAGACACCAAGGTTAGGCTCACCAAGGTTATCGAGCTTCTGGAGCGCCAAGTTGGCGGCATCAAGAACAACTTCAAGATTACTACATTCACAACAGTTCCGGTCCAGATAATCGATCGGTTAAATGAGAACCCTACTAGAAGGCCAAATACAATGCCCCCAATGGCGGGGATGGGGCTTTTACCACCCCCAGGAGGGAATGATCAAAACGAAGACCAAGACGCCAACGAGCTTGATGAACTTAAGAAGAAGCTGTCGGCAGCAAAGCTACCACAGGAAGCCTCCAAGGCCGTGGATAGAGAGCTGCGCCGGCTGCAGAGAATGCCGCCTATGAATCAAGAATACCAGGTCACGAGAAACTGGCTGGAGACGATATCTGAAATCCCATGGACCGCGGCCACGAATGATCGACTAGGGGCCGATACGCTGACCAAAGCTCGACAGCAGCTTGACCTCGACCACTATGGCCTGGACAAGGTCAAGAGGAGGCTTATTGAGTACCTGGCTGTCTTAAGGTTGAAGCAGTCCATCAGTGATGATATGGAGGAGCAGATTCGCAAGGCAGAAGCTGATGCCGCCGTCGCTGAAAAGGCCATTACCGAGGGCAAGAGCAGTGACACCGCCAAAATTGCAGACGATGTTGCTCAAAACAACGCCAGTCGACAAGAGGCGTCCGAATCTGAACTCGCCAAGCTCCAGATGCTCAAGTCGAAGCGCACAGTCGACAAGTCACCGATCATGCTCCTGATCGGACCCCCTGGTGTAGGAAAGACCAGCTTGGCCAAGTCGGTTGCAACTGCTCTGGGCCGCAAGTTCCACCGCATCTCCTTAGGCGGTGTCAGAGACGAAGCTGAGATCCGTGGCCACAGGAGGACTTACGTGGCGGCCATGCCTGGGCTCATCGTGCAGGGCCTCAGAAAGGTCGGTGTGGCGAATCCAGTCTTTCTGCTCGACGAGATTGACAAGATTGGCACGGCGAGCGTACACGGCGATCCCTCAGCCGCCATGCTCGAGGTTCTAGACCCGGAGCAGAACCATAGCTTCCAGGATCACTACGTCGGCATGCCGGTCGATCTGTCCAAGGTCCTCTTCATCGCCACCGCCAACAGCCTGGACACCATCCCCGGTCCTCTGTTGGACCGCATGGAGATGATCTATCTTCCTGGCTACACCACGCTTGAGAAGCGCCACATTGCCATTCAGCATCTGATCCCCAAGCAGCTCCGGTCCAACGGATTGGCGGACGACCAGGTCGAGTTCAGCCAGGAGGTGGTGTCCAAAATCATCGAGTCGTACACCCGTGAGTCAGGGGTTCGCAATCTGGAACGTGAAATTGGCTCTGTATGTCGCGCCAAGGCTGTCGAGTACGCGGAGGCGAGAGACAATAGCGCCTTGGAGACGTACCGGCCGCAGCTCACGCTCGATGACATTGAACAGATTTTGGGTATTGAGAAGTTTGAAGAGGAAATCGCCGAGAAGACGAGTCGTCCGGGTATTGTAACGGGACTTGTAGCCTACAGCACCGGCGGCAACGGCAGCATTCTCTTTATTGAGGTTGCTGATATGCCCGGCAATGGACGAGTGCAGCTTACGGGCAAGCTAGGCGATGTTCTCAAGGAAAGTGTTGAAGTTGCTCTCACTTGGGTTAAAGCTCATGCCTATGAGCTGAGCCTAACCTCCGATCCACACGTCGATATCATGAAGGATCGCAGTATTCATGTCCACTGCCCCTCTGGAGCTATTCCCAAGGATGGGCCCAGCAGTGGTATCGGTCAGGCCATCGCCTTGATCTCCCTATTCTCTGGCAAGCCAGTGCCACCTACGATGGCTATGACGGTATGCTACCCTCCCCCTCTTTCCTTCAATAAAGTCCGACTCTACTTCCTGTTTAACAGCAGGCAAATTCAACACACCTCCTCTCCTCCTCCTATTTTCCTCAATACACCAACTTCGATTGACACAACTAACATGATATGTAACATAGGGCGAGATATCCCTCCGCGGCCGAGTCACCGCTGTCGGAGGTATCAAGGAAAAACTCATCGGGGCCCTCCGAGCGGGGGTTAAGACAGTGCTACTCCCAGCACAGAACCGTAAAGACGTCAAGGATCTTCCTCAGGAAGTCAAGGATGGTTTGGAGATCCTCCATGTAAAGTGAGTCATTGTTCTTTTCCTTCTCTGTGCTTCTCTCTCCCATTTCAGCCCTCACATCTTATTTCTCCCCATGATACTGGCATGCATCAAACGCCTTACGGTTATGCATGTTGCCTCCTCATACCATCAGAGAATCAAGAAACTATGAGAAGCAGTGTTACTAACTTCAATGCTAAAATAGCCACATTTGGGATGCGATCCGACTGGTCTGGCCTGATTCCCATTGGGCCGAGGACCACCAGTTCGCTGGCCTCGAGAGCCGTCTATAAGGGTTGTTCGTTTTGTCTGCTGGCGTCCCGGGAATTCGGTCCTTGTGTCTTGCATTTATAAGGTACCCTTGTTGTAACCCTAATCCAGCATCATGTACATAAAGGGAGATGGGAGCGTGGCATAAGCTGAAATGTATCAGATCTGAGACAAAATATCATCAGATTATACAGATGCTTAGTATTGTACGATGCTTCTCACTACTGCTGCTACCAGCAATAGCTGTTGATTTGATTTGCCTAAGACAATAATATACAATTACTTGTATCTCATCTGTGTCTACGCTGTTCTGGCAGTCCGCAATGTGGGATAAGAGTGTTCGAGTTTTCTTTTCCCTTTCCCATTTTCAAAAATGGTCAGTGTTCTTCACGTACACTTCCAAGCGGGTTTTTGTGCGATGCTGTCACCGCATACTCGCGCCACAGGAAGCGAGCTGCCTATGGAGCTCTGTTGTGAGGATATCCTTGTAAATCCGACCAGCTATACTAATAATTTTCTTCTGCATGGAAAAAACAAGATAATTGCACACCTAGGGGGGCGAGATTTCTACCGTGGCTGCAGCAGACTTGTATACATCTCCATGGACCATGTGCTGCGGCGCTAAAAACACATGGACGCAGTGGCGTCAGAGTAAGACATGCAGCACAAGGTAGCCTTCACTCCCACGTCTAGTGATTCATAGCGAGACAAGAGGGATAAAGGGCAAAGAGATGTAAGGAGGAAATAAAGACTAAGCTGAGGGATAGCAAGGGAATGGGATGAGTGCCTCTGGTTCATCCCTGAGACCCTCTTGAGAGCAAAGCAAGCGAGCGAAGCGCGTTCCTGGCTATATATTCATATCTTCAACCAACAAGAGCTGTAATGAGCTAACTGGTTCATACGCATGTCGAACTGTGCCAATGTTTTCCTTGCAGCTCAGCTCTTGAATGAGACACACACGCGAGACTGGCCCATGCCTGCAGCGTTAAACTTCCCTTGATGGCATAATGTGTGTACGTGCGCGATGTTTGTACACACCTGTGTCAGAAGTTCAGCTGGACATGGATGGAACATGATAAACAAATCAGCCATGCTGGCCTGACACGAGGGCTAAATTTGCTTTCTTGCAGAAAGATGGGCCGGCGGCGGAATATCCTTCGTATGCCTGCTCATCTTGAATTGGTTGCTTCTCTTTCGTCTCCAGCTTGCCTAGACTCCCCCCCCCCTTTTGTTTTAACGCATCTTTTTATACATGGCGATTTGTCGGCTCATATCTTGCCCACTAACTGCAATAGAGTACGCCGTATGCAGGCTGCGTCTTCGGGTGGCCAGCTAATGGCGGCGTATTCTAACCAGTCGTATGCTGGGCTCACCTCCTTGCATGCTTTTTGCTCCGATAGCTGAGTATCCGGTCCAATAATGTGAAAGTGAAGCTGAGATGGCCGCACAAACCACTCCTTTGCTAGTTTGCTTGTAGGGTGTCCTAGGAGCCAAAGGTCTCAAATTCATGCCTGTTGGCCTTTGTCTTGGCTGACGCCACACCACACACACACAGCTTGCTGCCTTTGTGTCATGAATCTTCGTGCTACTACTACAAACTTCAGGGAAGTACTGAATAAAATAGGTGAATACCCGACCTAGCAACTTGACACAACGTCGTCATCTTGCTTATTTAGCAAGAGACGACAGAGAATAGCAATATATTGGCTGCTCCGACAGGAGCCTTAGCCCGCAAACGTCAGAGGCGAGACATTGATCACAGTTTCTGCTGGCAGCAGGACTGGTCTAAAGCAACAGGGTTATCGTTCGTACATCGTAGCACTTATATAGCTACTGCTTAGAATCCCTGGTGTCTTGAAATGCCGCAGGGATATTGATTCACAGTATAGAGTAGCAGTATGGAATATAAGCAATGAGAAATGGAAAAGCTGTCGATCAGGGGCTATCCCAGCACGTGGTCTTGACGAGAGAGCGTCCTTCTATATCAGATATAGCCGTAGTGTAGTGTAATTCTCCAAACCAAGGGTGGCCATAAAGGGGGTTGTGCTCTCATAGTAAATACGATGCAGAGATTTCGAGTTCAACTCGCTTCGTTTAACTCGGGCTGACCTCTTGTAATGCATCTGCCTATCTTGTGGCGATATGATGCGCATAATGAATAAAGAATGGGACTATTCCTTAGCTTATGTGTAGTCGGATTTGTTTTTGAGGGACATATAATTCTGCCCAGACCTCTAGTGTTGGCGGCTGCCACACATCAGAGAAACTAACAGCTCAGTCCAGACCCTTCCAGTGTGGAATGCCCGTGTCAATTCCACCCCCCCCCCCGTCCCATCGGCGTGGCACATGCATGGTATGAAGTAGTACTTCATAGCTTCTCGGAGTACGAGCTGTGGTTTGGCACTACCAATATAGCTGGTGTGGGTGCCAAGGTAATTTAGGGAGAGAGGGTACTTTGATACCTCGATCCGATTGAGTGGCTAGGCTCCGAGAGCGACACACTCGTAAAAGCTTTTGATATACAATGAAATCATGATTGTCTGAACACGCTGGTGAGACGCTATCAACGGGACAGCACAGCAGAGCCAACCTAGTAGCTTGAGAAAAGAGTAGAGTACTTGAATATGAGCCAAAGCTGAGAAGAGGAGAAAAGCCCGTGACAAGACAATACACTTCGCCAAGCCTGCCTTTGGTACTTGGCGTAGGTTCGTTCGTTGCATGTATGTAAGATTGAGTAATGTAGGAGAATGTCACGGTGGGCTCGCCAGACGGGGCTACGCAGCCCCCTTCACTCAACCCCCACTCACATCGACGAGATGTGATGGAATAATAGACGCTTGTCAGAAAATTTCCGTCTGGTTTCCTTGCCGACTACGGATTAGTGGCAATGGCCGCTAGGGGCACTTCGCTTTGAGATTCCCGTTTCCGGCTGTTGCTTATCTCGGCCACTGTTTTGTTTTGGTGTGGTGAAAACAAGGAGCAGCTTCTTCAGCCATCGCGTTCATTGGCCACCGAACCTCCCCGGGATGATACTCGGAATAAGTGAAGATCGTACTATTTAGCCCCTCACAGATATACAAATATACCCACCAGATGGTAGGTGGTATTTCGTGCGGTAACTGCACCGTTCATCATTAACATATTGGGTATGAGCTGTTGGTGAGATGATTGCTTATTTTCTTCTGTGTGGCCTTGCTGTGTGGCCCTTGCTGTCGCATTGCGGATCCAAGAGATATTGCTAGGTGCTGAAGATGATATCCCACAGGCAAGATCAGTTTGTCGGTTGCCGGGGGCTTGATGAGAATATGCACATGCACTCTGTACTGAGTACCTACTACTACTTGCATGCAAGACCCATGGCCGGGAAACCAAATATCCCGCCCGGCACGGAGGAAATGAAACTGTACCATTTCGTACTTTGTAATTTGGTTCCATATGTATTCACAGCCTAAGGCTTGCTAGCCGAAATCTGCGCCTTCCTACCGGAACAAGTCTAGATGCATGAGACCCCTTGATGAGAACACAAGGCTTTGGCATCTCGTTGATAAATGGTTGGGACGTTTTTTTCTCTCCTGCTGCGTGGGGGGCCTGTATTTGCACCCCTTTGGTCGCCGTCCCTGTGGGAGATGCCACAGGTGTGAGCTCTTTTTCACTTCTGATATCGGCGAGAGAGTGCGTCTCTGGGAACCTTTGGTGCTATTCCCCCAGATTCACACGAGGACGCACCCCTGCCCCCTCCCCCCCGGAAATTTAGCTCCTCAATAGTCCTGCGGCCATCAGAATGAAATGGAGTCCCGGCGGGGGTGCGCCGTCAAGGCCATGGGAAAAACAGGTGGCCTGGGCCCTTCGAAGCACAGGTGCCCGTCTGAATCCCGGCAGCTTTCCGTTACTTTGGACGATGCATGATCAGTTCTGGATGACCGCTATCCTCAGATATTATACCGCGAAACAGCGAGCAGCAGGCTCTCTGAGAGCCCATGGTCTGACTAGCGGCCAAGTGCCCACCATGGCAGTGGGATGTCACCTACTAAATTTGGAGGAGGGCTCAAGCTGTTGGTTTGGCCTGTAATTTGTTCAGAAAACGACTGCTCCTCTTGAGAAATTCAGTGCTGCGTACGGGCACAGATGTAGACAAAGCCTCCCAGCTGGAGAGAGGACCGGTCCAGGATTCGGCGCTGATCTTTTTGCTTGCTCCTTGCGGAACGGCTGCCGAGCAAATGACAGGCATGCGACTGTGGTAAGTGTTGATTTCGGTTGCAAGTTTTTTATGCTCGTGCAGCGGGCGATATGGGGCGCTGCTCCATAATGCACGAAGCAGATGAGGGCATTACGGAGAATTTCGATTGGAACGTAGGAGGGGAAAGCCAAGCGCACGCCATCTGGTGGGTGGTAAATTAAGGTAGGCCGCAAAAGATGGCGACCTCTGCCGCGTGTCCGGAGTTGAGCACTGGTGCCAAATACCTTAGTACCTAGCAGTAGTGCTGCGCCGGTGGCAGTACCTTGTACCCACTTCGCACTTCGCACACTGCTTCCGAACGCCCAACGGCAGGAATGAAGGAAGCGATTGCCATCACCAGACCTTGCGCTCGGTTAAAATAATTTCCCGCGGCCAATGCTGCGTTTCCGGCGACATTCGACCTGCTTGGGCGACATAGGAGACTCATGCCATCAGCTTCGTCGCTGCCATTACGATCGCCATGCACAGCATGAGAGGAGAATGGGCTCTTGGCCGCTCAGGCCGCATTTTGCAATCTGTCTGGTAATCTGGCTCAGGGCATGTGAGTGAGGGCTAAGGCACTTATGCTTGCCACACTGAAGCCAAGGAAGCAATAACGTGCTGACAGAATGCAGCTAAAGGTCCACGGCGCCGCCACTTGTCATCACCAAAATAATATGTCCTAGCTGTCTGCGGCTAAGATTCGTGCCTTCAGATGGGCGAGACGCAAAGTACGAGTACCTAGACTACCTGCTCGGAGTAAAGAGCGCAGACAATCCGTACTCCGCCCCTGCACAAGGATTCTGTGTTAGCGAGGTGGTATTCCGTACAGGCACAGCCATTCCTTGAACCAGCGTGTGCTCGTACAGCACTTGGGTCGAGTGTGGTTCGTTATTAAGGGGGGTTCCTTGTTCGGGAATTTCTAGACCTTGCGCCATGTGCTCGTCCCAGGATTTGCATTACTGTCAGGTTTTGCGCTTCAAATGCTACATACTTTGAGATTCCTTGCACGGAGTACTCCGTACCTACTACATCAGGAACCACGACGTACAAATGCCAAAAATAGCCAAGCTTCTCTAATCTGCTACATACAAGGAAGCGCTCTGGTCTACGGAATACCATAGCCATACAGGTATGTAACTATGGAATACGGAGTACAGAGGGTAA